AAAAAAAAAAAAAAAAAAAAATCATTTTAAAAAATTAAAAAAAATTTTTTTAAAATAACAAAAAACCCAAAAAAAAAAAAAAAAAAAAAAAAAAAAAAGACATGGCAAGCTAGCTGGCTGGATGTTTTGTGATGTATGGATGGATGATGGATAGATGGAAGAGGACAAATCGATGGATGGATGAAGGATTATAATAGATAGATGAATATAGGTGAATAAATGTTTGATGACAGATTAATGGATGCATGGTGGAATCAGGATAATAGATATTTTGCAAAGAATTAATGAATACATGCAACTTCCAGACAATAACATAAGGATAAAAGAGAAGAGAGTTGAGAAAACCAGTGCATAAAGCAAGAACTAAATTTCCTGTGCCTGATATGCCGTGCCATCTTTCATCTTCTACGATGTTTATTTTATTTTATTTTTTTTATCCGCCAATCAAATCAGAGCAAATTCAGATCAACAGCATCAGATTAGGTTGGCCTCTTGCCTTTAAATGAAATTAAATATGTCCAGAGCCAAAATCTTTGATTCGCCACGTATTTAACCAGGATAAACAGCTGTTTAAAATATCTAGGTCATGTCTTTAAAAATGTGTCATAAATAGCTGAAAGAAGATACAAGATGTTTTAGTTTTGAATGAATTTATTTTCCTTCTTTTTTTTTCTCTCCATTAGGCGTTACAAGATTCTTAAAAAAAAAAAAAAGAAGAAGCTTTTCAATGGTAGGAGCAGTATATGACATATTTATGAGGCCTTCCACTGAGATTTAAACTGTACAGAGACAATATCAGCCACTAGCCATTGCGTAATCAGAGTGTAATCACAAACAGAATGACAGTTTCCTGTCCACACGCATACACACACGCGCACACACACACACACACACACCCCTTCGGTAAAGCCCCCGTCACTCATCCGCACCAGTCTCTCCGTCCAGAAACACTCCTGCTTTGGCTTCAGCAGGTCATTCGTGCCACGCCAAGCTCCAGACTGACAACAGCTGGCTCCTCTTTGGCAAGTTCACTGTTGCATGTCCCTTCCAGTTCTCCGTAGCTCTGCTTCCTGCTCTCGCTGCCGCTGCTGCCCTCTACTGTCCGCTCCGTGTCTGTGCTCTCCATGGCCTCCTCGCCCACTTCGTCTTGCTCGTCGTCCTCCTCGCGACGCTGCACCTCTTTGTGGTTGATGGGTGCGCCTAAGATGAGGGAGTCGGGCCGCGGTGGCAGGGGGTTGGTGCGTTGGTCTCTGGTTGGAGGAGGTGCCGGGGGGTCAGAGGTCGCAACGGGGGTCACACCAAGTTGTTTGAGCCTCTGGATGGATAGTGTGGGGACAAAAAAAACAAAAACACACATTTTATTCACCCTGGCTGGATTCACTTTTCACCCTTGTGCCTGATTTTACAACAGGAACAAATGGCGGAGTGCAGAGGAAACCAGAAGTTCACATACGCTGAATAAATAGACTCCTAAAAAATATTTTAAATTCAATTGCACCACAATTGATGTATTTTAAGGCTACGCCTGAAACACACTGATCTCTTGATTAGAAACTCATAAGAAATCAGGAAGAGTACTGTGTAGCTGCACAAGCCTGGCTTATCCTTCGGAGCAATCTTGAGACGCTTATAGGTTTCGCATTCATGCGCTGAAATGATAATATGCAAGTATAGACGTGATGGGAATGTCCGACCACCATCAAGAAGGAGACAGGCTCTGTGTCCCGGAGATGAAAGTATTTTGGCCATTATCCACAGTAAAACAGTTCTGTACCAACATGGGCTGAAATGCCACTCAGTGAGGAAGAAGCCATTACTCCAAAAGAAATATGACATCCCAGATTATGGTTTGCAGATGAACACAAGGACAAAATGCCAGATTATGGCTGTTTTTTTAGAGACACGTCTCGAGGTCTGAAGAAACTAAAGCGGAACTGGTTGGCCATAATGATCATCATTGGATGAGGAGGAGCCGCGGAGCATGGGGGTGGCAGCATCACACAACATCGAATTTGCAAATAGATCCGACAAGGCGTGTGAGAGTGATGCAGCCAACAAACCTGACGGAGACAAAGTTTTTGGGAGGAATGGGTCAGAACAAACTATTGTGAGAAGTTTGTGGAAAGAAACCCAAAAGGTTTGACCCAATTCGGACAGCTTCTCTAAAGTTCATACTTGCATATTTAAATGTTTGTACATTGATAGCGAGTTGAAGTGAAGTCAGATTTCTCAATCGTGAGCATCGACTTGGCTAATGAAGCAGGTTCTGAGGTGATATCGCTCTTATGTGCCATTTAAATCAATAGTCTAATTCAATACAAGCTATTAAAGATACTTTAATAACTCCAGAACATTTTAAACTTAGTTCTGACAGATCTAAACCATAAAGATCTGTAGAGAACCCTATGGCAGGTTAAACTTTTATTAAAGTAACATAGTATTTACAATCTAATAGGAATATCTCATTATTCTGTGGACTTTATTCAAGGACCAACATTGACAAAAAAAAAAAAAAAAAGTCACTTTAAAAGAAATTTGAATGAACCTTTTCTTGTCTACGCAAGACTTGTTTTTAGGTTCATCAGAGTTCATCAAGGAAACTGAATTAGTAATTCATGGCTTCCTGTTTACGACTTGGCGTGACATTTATCTTGATGGTGCGGTGGAAAGAAAAGAAAATAGATCTCCAAAGCTTATTAAATGAGAGACGCAGCTGTGGTTAGCGCCTTGGGATCACCAGGTTTCTAGATCAAATTTGACAGTACCTACATGTCAAATGATCTTTTTGGAAAGGTTAGATCTGCAGACGGTGTCAAAAACTCTCTTTCTGTGTGCTCCAACCTGAGCCAGCATAGGAGAAGGCATCAATAAATGTGCTCAAGTTAACCACAGAGTTTCCTCAATTGTTTTTCCTCAAAAAAAAAAAAAAAACATGAAATAAACTTAAGCCTGTGTCAATGTCTGTATGTACAAAATCAAAATCAAAAATATCAGAATCCAGTATTGCAGACAGAATCCCGCGCTCAAATTTCATCTTAAATTAATTATGCAAGTAAATAATAAACCAAACCCTGAAGTGACTGAAGTTGAAACATCTAAACATCTCTAAGAATTTGTGCATCATTACTGAAACACACAAATACAAAATGCTGAAAAGTCAACCAATGTGTGAAGTGGGATAGCTTAGGCGATTAGAGCAAATTCAGAGCTGCCTGTTAAGGCTCAAACTTGTGAGGGTATTAGAGTTCACATTTGCCTAGAGGTAATGATTCAAAGTGATGCAAATCAAACAGGCCTGAACAACTTTCTCTTCTCTCCACCCATGTGCTGCGTTAGGGTGAAAAAAAAATGTCAAAAGGAAGTGGGAGGAGGGGGGGGGGTTGAAGGTTGGAGGTGCCAATGCTTGCAGTGAGGTGCAAGTACATTCAAACGAATGACCAACAGAGAGACGTAGTTTTGTGGTCTGTTTTTACAGAAAGGAACACACAAACTTATTCAGCTGACGAGAGGAAACCTGCCATGTCTTTACTGTATTTTCACTACAAAAAGTTGCCCTTAAAACTTTTTCAAACAAGAAATCAACTTAAGCCATTTAAATAGGAATTGCACTCCAAACACAATCCAAACCAGGGTTAATGAGTTCGCACACACATTGTGACATTTGTTTATTTACTTGTGTAGGAAAGAAAGGATCATTTAAAACAGAGTTTCCTCAAGTAAATCCTAATCAGACATCAAACTAAATATGTTAAAATCTAAATAAATATTGGCTGTAGTGTCATGATAAGTGTTTCATGTTAGTCAATAAAATTGATCATTGATTAAGTTTTTGCTTTAAATACCGCAGAACCGGTGATGTGATATTTCCTGTTTGAGTCACAATTTCCTCTCAAGCTGCTATACTTTGTTGTGTCAAAAAAAAGAAAAAAAAACTATTACCAAGAACTGTCAGGTGAAATCACTCAATCAGGATTACTCATATATTGTGCACAACACAGAGAGCTTGTAGGACAACCAATAACGAAGGAGTTCTGGGTGAAAAGCTCTGCCAGGCAGAGACAACACCTGAGTTTTATACCAAGGATGAGGGATTCAAAACAAGGGGGCGAGATAGTATCTGGCTCTAATGCAGCTGCAGCAAAACAACTTGTGTGTGTAGCCCAGACAGGTTCTTGTGGGTGAGAGTTCACAAGCATTTAATCTAACATGATCAGTAGATGTCAACTTGTAATAATTTTACACCACTACTTTTTTTTTTCCCCTCCTTTCACTCCAAGCCATTGTTTTCCATTTTTAAGCAGTTGTGAGGCTTTATAGGGAAACCTACAACTGACTAGCTGCTGCACAAGTTGCTAAAAAGCGTGTTGCTAGGTTACAAGTGGGTGAGTTAGTTTATGCCACCAGCCTTGCTTAGTTGAGCTGAGAGAGGTCGAGAGGCTAAAGCTTCTCCTCTGCCTACATCCACCAGAATGCTGAGCAGTTCTGGAAGGAAGTTCAGTGAAATCATTGAACGTTCCAATGCACAAATATTCTACCGATACCGATAACGACCTATCACAATATATATTGTTATTGATTTATTGCCCAGCCTACTAAGACTTGTAAACTCAAATAACAATTAGAACTACGAGAAGTTATCAATGTGTTCCAAGCCCTGACAATTATGGAAGGTCACAAATGTCTTCCAGTGTTATTTTTTTTTAGGGGTCAACATCAATAGAAGTTCACAGACTAACCGCTCTAAGCTAAACATTTCTCAGTATACGTGTAAATGTACAAACAAGGGAATTCAACTCACAGTCTCCAGAGCTCGCAGTGTGCTCTCTGCTTGACGGCTGTTCTCCTTCAGAGTCAGAGTGGTTTTGAGGATGGACTGCCGTGGATGCATGGACCGATCGAACTGGTGGTACATGTTCCTCCAGAACCTTGGGAGCACAGGATTAAAAAGGCATAGAGGCAATATTCATAAATAAATACAAAGTCGGAGACCTGTAAAAGTGCAATACGGCAAACGCTGGCAAGTCGTGTGTCTGGTACTGACTTGAAATGGTATGGCAAGGTGGAGGGCTCCAGCACAGGATGTGCTTCAGAGTATGAAGGCTTGTAGAATGGATTCAAGTAGTTCTGCTTTTCACTCATCAGATAGGCCCAGAGTGAGTGAGTTCGCTCTCTAAGCCTAAGACACAGAGTGATGGTTAACAACAGCAGTCGTTTACACACCAGTCTATCCGAAACATCTGACTTCAGATGCTATTTTACTACCGGTTTTAGTAAAACCTTTAAATACATTGTATTGAGCTTAAACTGAACAATACAAAAGAAAATGCAGACATGCAGTCTGTCTGTGAAGCTCTTAACTTAGTGTCCTTAAACTTTTGCAACATATTTGCTTTGATAAATCTGACAAGGCAAAAAAAAAAAAAAAAGGAGGGGGTTGTTTTTTTTCCCAATAGTTTGTTCAAAGTGTCTCAAAGGGGTAAAAATACTGTCAACAAAATACAAGTTGAGATGTTTATACTTACTGCAGCTCCTCTCTCTGCCTCTGATTGTTCCCTAGGAAGTTTCCATACTGACAAGAGTGCACATGCTCATGGATCTGCAGCAGGAACCACTCGCTGTACTCAAAAGCCTAATGAGAGTGCCATTATTAGATGAAAGACAATCAAGCACATTGAAAGGAGGTGATGCAAATTCGTTATGCTGTCAGCAGATTCGCTCATACTTGCGGGAACTGCTCAGTCAGCTGATAAACACACTCGAGAAACTGAGTGAAGATCGGAGACACTTCCTTTGGATCCCCGTCGAGCTGGTCACACCTTGAAATACAGGATTACATTGATGGTCCAAAAAAAAAAATAACATCCAACCATGGGCTCCTGTTTCAGTTTTTTCCTCCATGAAAAAGAAGATTGCACCAGTTTTTTTTTTTTTGCCATATCTCCTTTATTCTCATTTAATAAACCTATTTAAGTGACTAAGTTTAGTCACTTGGAATCTGTTTCTACAAATCTTAGTATGCTACATTTCAACAGACAATTTGAATGTTGTTGCTGCAGACAGGCAGTTATTTTTTTTTAATAATAATAATAAAAAAGTATTATACATTTGTTTAACTGAAAGCAGTGATCAGATATTTTTCGGTTAACAAAATACAATAAATATCAGGGAGCAAAAACATAACAGTGTAATAACAGTGTAATAACTGTAAAATATCCAAAAAGTTCTAAAAGACAAAGATGAGTTTGGTAATGACCAACAACGATGGCACTCGACAAAATGCAACGTCTGCTACTGGTTTTCGATCATGTGATGTGTCCATCATGTTTTCACAAAGTAAAGCTCTTTGAACCGCCTCGTTACTGAAATGTGCTGCACGAACAAACCGGGTTGATTGATTGAAACTTGATTGACAATGTACTCAAGTAAACACATATAATGAATAAGGAAATATCTTGGGAGCGGAGTTAGCCTTTACCTGTCTGCAAACTTGTGACCAAAGGAAATCCAGTCTTTCTCTATTAGCACCTGACAAGACAAATGATTATATAACATAAGTTTGAAACAGCAGCAACTCACCTGGATAGAAGAGATTTAAACCAATATTCATACCATAAAGCCCTTGATGGTGCGATAATAGGGGTCCATGAGCAGCGACCCCAGGGCGCAGACTTGGGCAGTTCTGTCCCATCCATCTGAGCAGTGAACTAACACACTGGCCCCTTCTACTGTCACCGCCTAAGGAGTGAGTGTGTTTAGAGGAATTAGGCTTTTACTATGAGAAACAGGACAATATTAATGAAAAGACAAATGGTTACCTTTGTAAGACACACAGCTGCATCTACTACAGCTTTGATATGTCGCAGCCAGCCGCTGTTTTCCAGTCCCACCAGGTAGTCGCTCATGGTAAGAGACCGAGCTCCAATAACTACGAGAGAGAGAGAGAGAGAGAGAGAGACACACAGTCAGACAGCATATTAAAGCAAAGAGGTGTCTTGATGTTCTTCACAGCTCCCTTACCTTCCAGTAACTTCTGCAGGCTTGACCTCATTACGTGGATATTTTCGATCCCAACAAACTGAAAGCGGATGTTAGAGTAGTTGTCCTCGTTCTCGTAGCCTTTGCCAGCAGCGCGGTTGGCCAGCGCGTTCAGCTGCAGGAAAATTACGGTCTTTAAACTCACGTAAATCATTTCTTTTTTCTTTTTTTTTTTTTTTTTTAAAGAAAATAACTAAAATGTTACAACTTTACCTTTGGCCTCGTGTCCATGACGTAAACAAAGCGACTGTTGTGATTGGCCTTACTGATGGCCTGCAGCATGCTCTCATCTTCGAGGCACCGCGCGCTGAACCCAGAGAGAGGCTGACTGCAGCGACACACTGCCGCCTGTTGCACAAGATGACAGAAATGGCCAAATGTGACGACATTTCGACTACGCTCCATGAGTTACCTGTTATTTATAGTCATGGATTAACATTTTAAAGCCTTCTTTTGAATTCCAATCTAATTTTTTCCATGCTGTAAAGCCGATGTGATGAAAGACCAAGCATATCTTCAAGTTCTTGCCTTTCACTGTTACCTCGCAAGAAAATCCAGTTAACTCCGAGGCAAGCTTGTCGGTCAGTATGCCACAGAAGGTTTCTGCCTGAATTTCCACTCAGAGGTCATGAAAGGTGACTGTGACATATTTTTGTAATGTTGAGCTAATTTAAAAGGACGTTGTTTTAATTGATAGAAAAGGCACTTAAAGGACAATTTCTTTAATGCACCTTCATTAAAAACAGACAAAGAATCCTCAACTAAATTCTGAGTGGATTTGCGTGAAACGTGGCTTGCACATTGATGCAAGTACTGCAATCTGACTGTGATCTTCTCTTTTTTTCCCCCCCACTGCATAGGCATTGTATATTTAAAGCATCCAAAAAGGCCAAACTAGACTTTTGTAACATTGACACATATGATACATGTTATATTTGACATACGATGTCAAATATAAAAACGACAACATCAACTAAAAAGCCCTGAAAAACCGAACTATGCTCCAACAGAAAGTACCTTTTTCTCTTGGTAAAAGTATGTGAGCACAGGAAAGCGTCCTTTGCTTCGGAACTTGGAGCTGCCAACGATGATGGGCTTACTGGCTGTGATGGGAACGTACAGGTCGCGTGGATATGTCTCACACACCTAGAAAACCAACAGGAAAAAATTTATAGATATTAACGAAACGGAGAGAAATTTCAAACTCTTCCAGCTTAACAAGTTGCTTTGTTTAAATATGAGAAAATGCAGGGCGAGCGATGTTCTGTTCTCCAGACGTTTGCCACGTTACTGCTGGAGCTCAAAAGCAAAACTAAAAGTGAAGTTTTATCCCCCTCTAGTGGGCAACCATGGTACGACCTTTCCAAATGTGCAGCAATTGTTCATTCTTCTGCTGCGTTACAAATTAAAAAGGCTGCACCCCAGACATAGCCCACAACTTTTGGGAAAAAATGTGTTCCTATAATAATAATAAAAAAAGGGAATATTTCACTAACACATTGTGTCAAACATGAAACAACAACGTCAACTGCAACTATAATGCAGAGTTGGCATTCGGGAAGTCGGAAATGACTTTCGAGTAAACATGTGGTCCGACTGCTGATGCTTCGATTTCCTTGTGGAAGGTTGAGTTTATGATGGTCCAAAGGTTGAAACAGTCTTGAACCTTATGTGGTTGAATTTTTAACCTTTAATTTCCCATAATCCTCCAAATTACTGCGCCCTGAACTTTTCCATACATCCAACCAAACACAATCACACAGCATTTTTCACCAGCTGCATCTTTCAGGCTTCAAGGCTGACAAATCCTAAGCTGACCTTCCACAGATGATCATTCTACCACAGTAGAAGGCACCCAAGGCGTCAGCAAATATGAGATGCACCAAAAATGGGTAAATGTGTCAATAACCTCCGTGGGCAATTATATCAAAGATTTTTTTTTTTTATTACTTTAGTTAATGGTCTACCTTGTAGTCTCTGTTGACGTCAGTGTGCTGCCATTGGTCATTGGGGACGCCCATCCTCTCAAACTCCGCCCCCAGGTCGATGAGCTGCCAGCCCTCCTCTCTCTGCTGGTCGTTTTGCTTGGGGTTGTAGGAGAACGCGTAGAGTTCCTCGTAATGCACTGAGACAAATAGAAAATGCATGTCCCAAATTCCAGTCGGTATGCACAGTTTTAAGCGCACTTTGTCCACAGAAACCTGTTCAAGGAGGCTTTCTGGGTATTATTTTCTCACACTGATCATTTCCACTGCAAGATTCAGGAACATCGGATTACCAGGGTAGAAGTGTACATTACTTACTGGTTTATCACTTCCAGCATTTGAGTTCACTCTTCTTCCAAATTAAAAAAAAAGACTAATGCTTAAAACATTTTGAAAATTACAATCCTCCGACTTCCACTCCTATGAAAAAGTGCCAGCAGGCAAAACACGATTTCTTGTGTTTTTCTTCTCTCTTTAGAAAGTTTTTTTTTTTTTTCCCTAAAATTCCACCCGATTGCCACAGAAACCAAATAGCCGCTTGTGATATCTTTGACAGCAACAGCTGCAATTGTTTTCACAGGCAGAAAGTCTATTCCATCCTTGTTGAGGAATCTTAAACCAGCTCCTCTTTTGCAGAGTTCTTGGCTAAACTGGAAGACTGTCAAGCACAAATGTCATGCTTTTTAAGGTCAAGCCACAACATCGTAACTGGAAGTAATTCCAGAAACTTTCTAACTCACTCAAAACTTTATTTAGTTTTTTTTATTTAACCACTGAGAGACAAATTTTGCTGGTGTCCTTTGGATCATTGTCTTGTGGGATAAATGAAGCAAGTTTAAGCTTATGGTCACAAAATTATGGCAGCATATTCTACTTCAGGATCTTTTGCTAGAGAGCAAGTGAAACTAGACAAAAACATGTGGCTAATCAGAAATATTTAGTTAACAGTTGGGGCGATTATATTTTCATATAGGCCCAGGCAGGCTTTGGTAGCTCTTTTCCCCCTCGAATACAGAAAATCGTACTTCCGAAACTGCTTTTCGAATGTATTCAGATTATCTTTGATATTAAAACACATCTTCACAGTGAAAATCAGCAAAACCTTTTACAAGGACAAAAAAAAAAAAAAAATCAGGAGAACGGACGGTGAAAATCACCTGGCCGCAGTAGACGCAGCAGTGAACTATAGATGTCATGGCAGTCTCTTTCCCTCTGTACCACAAAATGAACCACCCTGAAGTTCCGGCACTGGATGACCAGCGGGCAGCCCGAGGTGGTCAGGCTCTGCTTCTCCACCGAGGCTATGTGGTGGTGCAAAATCTGGGGAGAAAAAAAAAAAACAAAAAAAAAAAAAGGAGGGGACGACAGTTGATTATTTTCAGCAGATGTCGGAAAAACCCGCAGGATCCTCCCTGTGCAGGATGTCGGGTAAACCCTCAAGAGCACGACTGAAACTGTTCTGAAATGTGCTCAACACAAGCAGGCTTTCATAAACTCTTAATACTCAGCAGATTATATTCCTCGGTGTAGTTTGTTCCCCACCCTTCATAGGAAATAATTAAAACATAGACTCATCTGCATAGGGTAATGATAAATAGAGGACACCGAGATAAACAGAAACACACACACACACACACTTGTGCAGCCTTAATGTTGACAGCACCAGCCGTTAAGACATTCTCTCTCATGCTGTTTAATATTTTATGAGGTTCCTATTAAACTCTGATAAAATCTCTCCCCTGGACTCTGCAGACTGATCACAAAATGACTTCCCACACAACTCACACATGCAGTGTCATGCAACTTTCGTGTCAAAAGACACACACAGGAAGCAGCAGAAACGGAAGGATGCGGATATGTTTAAATTTGTAAAATAACAAAAAAAAAAACAGAAACCGTTTCCATCTCTCAGCACAATGAGCAGGAAACGGGGCCAGAATGAGGTGAGAGTTTGGATTTTTGCTGCACAGAGCATTTTAAACCACACAAACCCTTTCCCACAATGCAGTTCAGGGCCAAGCTCTTACATCATACGGCAAACTAAAGGCTGTACTAGTGGAGAGCATTTAAATAAAATTAATGATATATTTATAAAATTGTTAAAGATTGAAAAATCAGCACTGCACACTGAGTAAATTGTGCATCAAAATGTTATTGGAAAAGGATGAACTGCTGAAATAGATCCTGTTTTTGCTCTGGGCTCATTAGAGCTCTAATGATTTCCTTCCTAGAGTGTTTCACATCCTTCTTTAAACCATCACACTGCTTATGCTCTGCCACGGCAACACAAAAACAGTAAATTAGATATATATAAAAAAAATCTTATCAGAGTCATCTGAGATCGTCTTTCAGATCACGAATGAAAACACACACACACAACACACACACCTCCTCCTCCTCTCCAGTACGCAGAAAAGCCTGAATGGAAAACGTGCTACTGCTTATTGGGTGTTGTTATGAAACTCTAACCACAGGTAGCTATGCCTCCTTTTTCACTCTTTCTTAAACAACTCTACAGCCGACACGCAAACTGTACTTCCTCAGTCTGCGGGCTTGCTTGGCAACGTCTCTTTAAAGGAGAGATAAAAGCAGTGGGACACCGAAGCGCCTTTATTTTACTGTTTCAGTAAAATAGTCATTTATGGACTTGGAATGCAACTGAAGCGTTTGTCGAGAACTCTATTGTTCTATTCTTTGATGTGCAATTTAGCTAAAAGGAGTTGCAATTACAAAGCTACAGTGCAGTTCTCCCCACCTGCCAATATTCCACTGCCACGACGAAATAAGGGGAGTTAATTAGTCGGTTAAATGGAGGTTTATAATAAGAAACAGGCCTCATTATTTCGTTAGTGATTTCATTTTTTTTTTTTTTCCTTCTTTTTAAATCTTGGCTCTTCCCACACCACACCTCTCAAGCTGTGAATTTGCTGTGTTACATTCAACAGTGCAGAGGAAAAACTGAGGATTAAAGCTGAGCTAAAGATGATACTTTTTGGATTTGTGCAGCTTTGAATTGGCGCACGCATGCACGCTAACCAGCAAAGCCAACTTTATGAAGCTGGCATGCTGTGTGTAAGTAAACAATGACGCGGCATTAGGATGCAACCAATATATATATATATATATATATATATATATATATATATATATATATATATATATATATATATATATATAGAGAGAGAGAGAGAGAGAGAGAGAACAGAGCACAGACAGACAACTTATACAGGGTATAGAACAACAACATATAGAAAGACTGGCAGAGTGTAGAAACTCAGATGGTAGCGAAACTGTAACGACCGTCGCAGGCCTTCTTGTCTGCACGGCTGCAGCTGCAGTGCCATCCTAAGATAACATATTTGCGACAAAGTGATTGAAATATTTCTAAGAACGTAGAACAATTAGGACCAAGTTGTTGCTTTTAACCTTTACATTGTGAGATTGTGAGAAATGACTTGTGCAGTTTCTCATTTTAACCATCTATCGCCGCACCATTTGGAGCCTTACTGGCTCAGTCAAATCCCGGTATCTTGGTTTAAAACCAGTAGACCTCCTGAACAACGGCTGCACCGACTGCATCGCCATCCCCCAACAACTCTTTGAGAATCCTAACCGTGGAGTCGGATCCAAACTTGTGAACGTATAAAAGACAAGCAGACGCCTCGCCGCTCGACCCACTCACCCAGATCTCCTGGCCAGCAGAGGCTGTGTTGTTGGAGCCGCTTTCCACAAAAATGAGATGCGTAGCGGTGAGGTACAGTGTGCCATTTGTGGATTTGTTGCTGAAGCGATCCACCAGCCGCACCTGCTCCACCTGCAAACGCACAAGTGTGTGAGGAAGTAATCTGTGAGCCCTCAGCAGGAAAGTCCGCTTCTTTGGCTGTACATCGGCCGTATCAAAGACAAAGAGATGAATTATGAACACCTGAGAAAACTGAACATAAGGTGCGTAGGTAGCACTTGGTGCAGGTCTATTACATAACGCTGACCACCTGGCGATGCTTTCGGCCGCCAGATCTTTTATAATACAGACAAACAGTGACTTAAAAATAAAGAACAAAAGTTTAACCATTAACCGATTAATTTTGTATGAATGTCACAGATTTATTTTTTCTGATAGGAAACTCTCATATCCAATCAACTTAATATTTTTTTTTAAAACATGTACCTTATCTGTTAATACATAAATGTAAAGTATAAAAATACCTAAAATCAGCTTTTTTTTTCTTCTTTTTTTTTTAAGAGAATACAACGTTATCTTGCTTGGGTAAACTAAGGCTTGCTGTTAGATGACAAAAAGCGAAAATGCTGAAGAGGCATTGAGATTTTTGTGCCCGGCACTGAATGCGGGTCTCCATTTCTTGCCATTGCTGCTAAATATCCAAAACTGCGATACACCACATTAACTCTGCCAGTGTTGACTCAGACTTCCTCTTCCTTCCTGCTGTTAGGCTGCTGTTCCCTGATACGATGTCGTAACGAAGCCTGTCTGTCTCCAAGCAACCCCAGGGTCAGAGTTTTGTCATAAATAAGGCTCTCATTAGATACAGGAAGTCAGGGTTGTGTTTAGCTGAAGGTAGAAGCTAATAATAAAAAAAAAATGGAAGAAAACACAATCCTTTGTTAATACTCCAACTGAGAATATGTGGGACTGACTTTACACAAAAGACTCTCAACAGTTTCTCAGTACTGAATTTAGATACCAGGTTTTCTAGATTAACAAAGAGTTAGGACACACCTTGTCTCCAGGTAATCACACCCTCCTAATCCCAGTGTTTTTTGTTTTTTTTCCTGCAACAGTTGTATATTCAACTGGCTTCAAGTTAAGAGGGAAAAAAAAGTCAAACCATGACTTGTATGATGAAATATCCAAAATCCACACCCTAACTAAACTAAAAAGTAATCTTCTTTAGCTCACATCGTCAAGCCTACTTGACTGGGTAATAGTAGATAAATTATCAGACAGAAATTGGATTTTTTTTTTTTTTCAAATTTCCCTCTACTGACTCTGATCGGCGATCCAGTTTATCTATTTAACATATTTGAAGTGATTTAGTACTAAGAGTTTGCACCATTTTCTTTCCAGAAATAGTCTAACCAAATTGCATGTGTTTTGTGCCTTTGTGTACCAAATGTTTAACCAAAAACTAAAAAGATATGCGATATGTGTTAGGGAAATGTTTTAATCCGCAGGCTGAGGAATATTGTAATTCCGTCATTTTCTGTATCATCCAAAGCTATTATACCTTTATCAAAAAAGACTGAGCATTTTTTCCCTCTCCTGTAGATGTTATAGCTATTAAACTTTTACAAAACAAAAAAAGAAAAGGAATTGGTCATAAGCTGTAGCATCAGGTTGCACCTCATAGATGATCAGAAATTGCTGTAAACCAGTAAAAACCTGATCGGTGCATCTGTAGTAAAAGCCTCCTTTTCTTACTTGAAAGTGTTAAATATCGGATTTAATCTGTATGGGTTTCACTTACCTTCTCTGCTGTTACAAAGAAATCTGGGTCACTTACTAGAAAAACCAGTTATTGTGTTGTTGTTGTTTTTTGTCTGGCCAGAAATTACTTAATACTGAAATATGCAGATGCCATATTGTCAACATCTTTTCAGCTCCAAATGCCTGGCAAAGCTAAACTGAACTACCTGTTTATGTCTGGACTACATCTGTGGGCTATTTATTTGTCATAATTTCCAGAAAAAGAATGTATTATTTGCCAGGACATCGTTATAATAAACATAAATCTGCTAAGGTTATAGAAAAGCTAAAGATCTACAGCTCCGACATACGATCAGCTGCTTTGCAAAAAGGCCTATCAGTCTGCCAGTCTATCTCTATGGAACTTCATCTTTCCTTTGGGTTTCTATCTCAATAGATCCACCGAGGATCATTACCCAAATCAATAATAAAGGTGGTAGCTACTTATATTACAATCTGGGTGTCATGCTATCTGTTATAGAAAGAAAAAAAAAGAAAAAAAAACAGCTAATTGATGCTCGTCACGTCTGCCACCTGGAGCTGCTGAGCGACACCTGCTCGTCGTCACACTAGAAGCTCTATACAAAACACATTCAATTCAACATCTGCATAATGCTGAAGGTAGCGACATTCAAGCTCTGCAAACCAACCAGAAAGACAGGGCCCGATTGCTGACTGTACCCCATCCAACTGCAAATAGCAAAAAATGTTAGCTACCTTAGGCGTTCGGATATGTTCCATTTCTCCGAGTACAGACGACTGTCAGCGGCTGCAAGGATTCACACGATGCCCTCTTGAGATAACGCTATCATTGATTGTTGAAAGCCCTAACGGTGGAATTAGCCCCTTTACTTTTTCGGTGGTACCCGATATGAGTTTATTGTCAATTATTTCGGTCCTCCATCCGCGTAAAGTCCCCCACCGTGACGCCAAGACATGGGATATGAGAATTTCAAAATAAGGGCACGGAGCATTTCTGCAGAGAACGTGCTTTGGGACTGGGGAGCCGGGCTCCAACGGAAGATTTCGTCTTCTTGATTGTTTTTAATCGGCAGTTGGCAAAAAAAAAATGCTGTGTTGTTTGGTTGCTTCGAGAAGTAATACTGATATTAAAGTGAACACTATTATAATCCCTGTAAGACGAGATACTATCTCATCATATTGATAGTATCTCAGTGGCAGAAACGGGCTGCTAGATTACAATTTTACATTTTTTGTGTGTAAAATTATAAAACTATTTTATGTATTTATTTGTTTCCTTAATACTTTTTATCAATACTTTATGTCCTGCTAGGACCTCACATCACATGCATAATAATAATAATAATAATAATAATAATAATTAATAATAATAATAATAATAATAATAAAACAACTAATTACTAAGATTTCCACGACTCAGTGAGCAACATTAAAAAGCTGTCTTAAGACAATGCCCGCAAACTAAGTACATAATTGTAGTTTTTATTTGGAAAACTATGTCGGAATAAGATTTGTCATGACGGCACCAACGGTGGCATTTCTGCGCATGTACAATCTTTAACCGGAAGTAAAGTGGGAACGATGGGCAATGTAGTTAAAAAAAAATACCCAAAATGCACTTGCATTCGGGAAATACCAGGCGGGCAATAGAAAAGTAATACCATGCGGAAAGTACGATATTTATAGCTTTCTTGAGTGTAAGAACAATACCGTATGGAGTAAAATATCAGTATTCAGAAGTGAAATAGCTCCGGAGTCACTGGGAAGATAAGACATTCTCATTTTATAATGTTTTGAGCAAAGATAAGACCGCTTATTTTGCTCTCGCGCGGGCATGCGAGCTAACTGACGCTTGCTAACAGTTAACGCTTGAGCTCTTTATCCTACGGCTTATTAATGCAAATTGTTTACCTTTTATAGCAAAATGTCTGGTTTTAACTTTGGCGGTGGGAATCTGGGCTCCACCAACACGGGTGGAGGATTCACATTTGGTGGTGTCACAAGGTAATACATATATTTAAATAGCCGACGTGGCTAACGTTAGCATTGTTTAATTTTTACTTTGTAGGAAGCGTGCGTTACTTTTTACTGTAAATCCGAAGTATGTTCTACTCCAGAACTCTGCTTAGCACGGGATTAGCTAAAAGCGTGGTATAATATGTTTCCTCATCTTTTTTTGTTAGTTTTAGATTTCTTGGTTGTGCTACTACTTATGTGCAAAAATAAACTGATGCATCTATAGAAACGAAAGCTCGTCATTATAGACTGTTCCTATTTTTATTTTTACCCAACCAATTTTTTACAACTATTTTCAGAGTTTTCTTTTAATTGGTTTAATGTTTAATTTTGCAGCACAGAAGGGTTGATTACTGTGCAGATAAGACTTCGTTTTAATCAGATTTTTTATTATTATTTATTCAAGGCAAATGGTTGACTAAATTTATTTATTTATTTATTTTAAAGTACACCTGCAGCCAATACCGGTGGCCTTTCGTTTGGGACTCCTCTGGGAACAGCAGCTGCCACCCCTGCTCCGACCACGAGTAGCACCCCATCTCTTGGTCTTGGAGGTGTTCTTTTTGCTCAGAAACCTGCGGGAGGTTTCTCTTTCAACACACCTGCCTCAAGTAAGCATTACTTTTATATTGCAGAAAATTACAAGAAGTTGTTGACATAATTGTTTTAAAAGTTATCCATCATGTAATAACCGTCATTGGAATTTTATTGTTTTAGCATCCTCTGCTGCCCCCACAGGTCTTACATTAGGTATGTATACAAAATAAAATTAACAAAGGTTTGATTTATCATTAAGCTTAGAGCCTCTGATGCGTAACTGGGTCCTTTTTGACCCGGTGAGGTCATCTTTTTGCAATATCTTTGTAATGAAAAGTTTTCATCACTTCATATTCCAGGTATTCCTCAAGAAACATGTTACTGATATCATGCAATTCAAATTTTTAATTTACCTTTTATACATTTTAAGAAATAGCATGTTTTATGTTACTACCCCATTCTTCCGTGAGTGGGTCCAAAATGACCCGCATTCATTTCCTATGGAATTTAATGGGAATCTTTGTTTCTTACCAATTGTTACTGTCAGGAAAACAGTTTTTTGTGAACCAAACACACTAAGACCTAAGTGTCACCCCTGAATAATATTATTTTATATAGCAAGAACTCTTACATATAAGTATTATCTTTATTTTTTTATCTCACAAATGTGTTTGTGTCAATCATGAGTACTGTGACAGCGTTATTGTCACAAATCAACATATTAGCCTTCTTCAAAATTACCCAACACTAGTTATTTAACCAAATAGGTAACATTACCACCTGTACTTTATTGTGCGTCTTTATTATTTGTGTGTGCGTGTCTGTGTGTCTGACGCCCTGAATGAGAAAACCGAGAGAGAGACTGTGCTGAATGACATGCAAAACCTGTTGATCAATGTGTTCAAGGATCTTTCTTTTATCATCTCAATAAATAAAATAAAAATTCATCGCTATAGAAATAAATGCATAAACAAATGAGCCAGAAAAGTATAGAGTGCCTTCTTTGGGTCGGGGAGGATGTCCTGCCCCAAGTGGAGGAGTTCAAGTATCTCAGGATCTTGTTCACCAATGAGGGAAAAATGGAGCAGGAGATAAACAGGCAGATTGGTGCAGCGTCTGCAGTGAAGCGGGCGCTGTACCGATCTGTCGTGGTGAAGAGAGAGCTGAGCCAAAAAGCAAAGCTCTTGAGTCATGTCCGAAAAAACGAGGTCATGGATACAAGCGGCCAAAATTAGTTTTCCCTATAGAGTGACTAGGCTCTCCCTTAGAGATAGGGTGAGAAGGTCAGATATTCAGGAGAGACTCTGAGTCGAACCGCTGCTCCTTCACGTCGAGAGGAGCCAGTTGAGGTGACTCCGCATCTGGTCAGGATGCCTTCTGGATGCCTTTCTGGTGAGGTGTTCCGGGGACGTCCCACCAGGAGGAGGCCTGGGGAAGACCCAAGACACGCTGACAATGTTTCTCAGCTGGTCTGGGAACGCCATGGGTTCCCCCAGAGGAGCTGGAACAAGTGGCTGGGGGAGAGCGAACTCTGAGCCTCCTTACTTAGGCTGCTGACCCCGTGACCCGACTCTGGATAAATGATGGATGGATGGATGGATGGATGGATGATGGATAGATAAATCACACACATACACACACTCACATGTGTGATACACATAGC